CGGAAATCTAACCAAAAACGAATTCAAAAAGCCTTTGACAACTTCGACACGAGGGAGCCCAGAAAGCCAACTCATTTAGGGGTTTAGGACTCATTCCTGTACCACTCTTTACATCCCCTTGATAATAGGCTGAAGACAAACCTCAGCCATTCACTTCTAAACATGCTGTTATATATAATAAAGGTTATCCACCCTCCAGTTCCCACTTACTAGAGCAGTGTCTGAACTCAAAGCGGACGTGGGACCCTCGAAACATGTCGACAGGGATGGGCAGTTTGATATGCTCCGCCCAGCGGGGGCTGTTGTTGTGGTACAGCACCAGGGAATGGTATTCATCAGCACCTGGTTCACCGGCACCCGCAGCCACGTGACTCTGAGGGACACAAAGAAGAGTGATTAAGACAGAGTCAAAGGGGGAAGTATGGAAATAAAAAAACAGGAAGTGAAGAGAGGAAACGAGAGGCCAGGCTTAAGGATGGGGAAGATTTGAATTACAGAATAAGCTAATGAGTCACACGGTGGTGTATTAAAAACCTGTCCACACACCGCAAATGCCAATGAAGTGAGAATGACGTGGTGTGCGTGTGTATATGTGTGTCAGAGTGGTGCGGGCCATGCGGTGGCAGCAGGGGTATATTTGAGTCTATTTTCTGTTCAAGGCCGAGGCAGCGGAGGAAACCACAGGAGCAGACTGTGACAGCGCTGCACCAGAAACGGGCAAAACACGGGAGAGACACTCTCATCTGGGTCAGCCATATTTAAATGAAGAGTTCTGCTCCAAAAAAGACACCAGCTATTAAGAAAACAAACAGAGATAACTGAGGGCTCTAATAAGGCATTTCATATCATTTAACAAAGTGGTTAGCTTTGAAAAACAACATATTTTCCTGGTTCTTGCAAAATAATAATAACACATTTTATTTAAGGCGCCTTTCATGACACCCAAGGACACCGTACAATTGGTTAAATATTCTAAGAGGTAAAAGCAACAGAACACAAACATACCATCATGGAGAGGACAATTAAAGTGGACACAAATGATTTGGAAAAGGTATTCAGGGGAAACAGTGGATAGGGAGCAAATGGCGGCTTGTAAACTGTTGCTGAATACGATAAAAAGTTACCTTGAGGACCTGTCCGTCGATATCCAGCACATAGACGGTGATCTCTACGTTCCTGGCGACGCTTTTCCCCCCCTTCTCAAACTCTCCTTTCTCCAGCGTGATGTAAAGGTCATTCCTCATCTCCCCTGCAGGAACAGGAAGGTAGCAAACCAACAGGGCATTGATTATGCATACGAGCAGGCATTATTAATGATCGTTCAGAAGCCTGATGAAAGATTTTGCCATAATGCTTCATGACAGGGGGGCGGACAGCATTTAGATGAGTGACATTTAATGAAATATTTTCTGCTGACGTGAAGCCTAAGCATGAGTCATGATCTTCCAGCACAAAAAAGGAAACAAGATTTCAATCTGCTGTAAGTACGGTACTGTAAAATCCATAGTCTTTGATTACAGAAGCGTAACAAGAGGAAAAGTGCTCCACCTACTTAGCATTGCACTCATATAACATTGTCAAAGCAAATCGATGCAGATATATCTTTTCATTTCACACTTGCTTCTTCCTTTCACGAAAACTGGTGCATACGTTACCCAGAATGCAACACACACAACAATGGAGAGAGTTTGATGTGTAATGCTAGTAGCAGCTAGCCCAGCAGAGATGAGAAATGGGCTACAGATATATGGTCACTCCCGTTTTTCATACACCCCAAAATTATTAATATTATTTATTTTTTACATCACTTTAATTTAGCCTCAACCAAGACTCACTCCAGTGACATCTATTGAGGTAATTAAATGGATTTAACAACCTTTTCTTTCCTGTCTCTTAAAGATTCATAACACTTTTTTTCCACAATTGCAGTAGTACTCCTAGGATAATGTAAATACATTTTTAGGAATTTCCCTTTAATAGACTTATTTTTAATTCTACATGCAGAGGTTAGTGCATATGTGCTTCATATGTATACATTTAAATAATATAAAATAATAAAGAAATGAAGAGAAACTTGAGATAGCAAGGTGTCAAATGTTATTCTCCCACCGTAATCCCAAACAACTTAACAACAATGCATTCTTTATATACTAATATACTTATATACCATTTATATACTTACTTGGTAAATGTAACTGCTTAATCATCTATCTTAGTTTTAAAAATCTGATAAATAACCCCTTTCTTAAAAATGGTGGTACAATCTGTAAAAAGAGTTCGAGAAAATAATCACAGGAAGTAATATTCTACATATTTTTGATATGTTTGCAGCTGAATCTACAATGACAGTGCCAGGCACACTTTTATTTCCTTCTGTGGGGGAAGTGGAAATGTTGCAATGCCCTCTGGGTAATAGAAAGGACAGGCCTGTTTCCTCTGCAGCTGGCTGTCGTCACACACATTTTTAAATCAGTTCCCTATATAGCTTCTGTTGTGTGTGTGGACATCGTATCTCGATGTGGAGGGTCAACATTGATTTTCTCTCAACAACAGTAGCCATGGCAACATGTGGGACCATATACAGCCATACTGTACACTTGCCTCACACACAAAGGGTGTGAGAAGGCAGATACTGTACACAAGGAGGCATTTTCCTAATGAACAAGAAGAGATGGGGAAAATATACAGATACAAATCAGGAAAAGAGACACAGAGGGAAAGACGTTTCCTTAGCCTAAAGGCAAACTCACACAGGCAAATGTGAGAGCCCTCAGCGTTAAGGGGTTTGTAGTGAGACAAAGACAGAGAACATAAATCTGTGTTAGTGAGGCGCTGGGGGACCCACAGTACGTGGTTCCTCTTTTTCCGTGTGACCAGACAGCACACCTCACTTATTTAACAGAACGGCTCCTCTGTGGAAAGGAAAAAGTCCCTTGATGTCCAGACAGAAAGCTAATTCAAACCCTTTTTCTTCCCTTTCTATGTTTTTTTTCCACAGTCTGTGCTAATGTCTTTATTTCATCTTACATTCAAGTGGTTGTACATTTTGTTTCCACGGCAACAAGACCTTATCAAGCTATGCCTGAGGGTCTCTGCAAGGGGCCTGTGTGATTTAGAGAAGAAAGCTATATAAGTGATGCCTTTCTAACTGAAACAACCTTATTATTTTATCTTTCTGAAAGCACCCTTAGGTGGAATTCTAATATCACACTTGTGCAATACGATGTCAAGTGTTACCAAGGCAACTATGTTAGATAATATAAGGCCCGGTCAAAGTACTGTACAAACACTAGACAATACATCAGCCTCAAAAAGGTGCCATATTATTTAATGTATTGACCTTTTCTATAGAAATAAATTATGTATGACTCCTGATTGATCCCCAGTTTATGAGTGTTTATTCACACCTGCTGCCTGGTAAGTCCCACTTTCGTATACCTGTCTAATGCATAGGAAATACAATGCTTTATTTATGTCTGCAGCACTGTATGGGGAAAGAGCCAACATGCTCAGTCCAGGGCTGTTTTTCTTATGTATACATTGGAACTTGTGAGTAAGTGTGAATGTCAGTGTGAATTTGTTTGTCATCTATATGCATATTAGCCTTGACACCAAATGTGATGGAGAGGATAAGTGATTTCAATAATAAATGGTTGGAATAACCACCATGGGAAAGAAAAGCAACTTCAACAGGAAATCAAAGGACAAGTGTGTCAGTGCGAACAATTCTTTGATAGCCTCTTGAATGTGTAGTGGGGAAGACACCACAGCAGTGAATGTTTAGCACCCAAAATGTGATTTGATTATGGAAGTACTTAGAAGCTGATTTTACTGTAAGAATGTTTTTGTTAAAAGATAGCATCTAGGATAGGAACATTTTAAATAACATAAAACACACTGTTATCACCATTTATTAGTGTTTTACAAGCCTCTCAGGGCTTCTGTCCAAACCAACAGGACTGGGGAAGTTCCTATTATAGGAGAGTAATAGCTAAATATCCATTTTCAGAGTATTACTCAGGACATTGAGCTTGTTTATGGTGTCCTACCTGGCATGATGACATCAGAGAAGCCCAGTTTCCTGGTGATAGACACACCCCGCGTGAAGAGGACCATGTACTCTCGTCTCAGCTGCTCTATGTCGCCGTGGAGGAGCTGGAGAGCCACTGCCAGACCTAAAAGAGAATAAAAATAACAGCATTTGAAATCTGAAATTGTATATATAACAGCCTTGATCTTCCCTCCCTTACCTCTTGCCAAAGCCATTCAATAAAAAACTAAAATTATTATCACAACCCTATTCCCAACACAATAAACAATCTTTTAATGGTGAGCTCAGGGAAAAAATAGCATTCACAAGGGCATATTTTCAGTTTTATTACAGTCACGTGGACTCGTGAACCACACAACTACAGTTATACCTGCCAACAGCAATACTTATGTATGGTATAAAGCATACACCCCCACATACATACACCAAAAAATGCAAAGCCTGTGATTCACCCCGAGCTCTGTATTATTAGAAGGAAATCCTACAAGAAAGCTGTTGCCTCAAATCAATATCTTTACACAACAACTCCAAATGTCAGCTGAGCTAAATTAATCCGACTTGTATTTAGAGCCCAATACACATTTTCCTCATGTCCAGAGTGTTTTTGTCTGTCCATGCTCATGACAAGGGAGATGCAGATAAACAAACAGCTTAACAGCAAGGGAGTGTGTAAGAGACATGATGGTGATGATTATTATTGTTGTGGATGTTTTCAGGAGAGTTGGGAGGCAGTGGTGAAACGGTTCATTAGCGGCGGGAGGTTTCAGTCACGGAGAGTCAACAAGCAACGTGACTTGTTTGCAAACCAGGTCGCAAGATACCAAAATGCACTGCATTACAATAGGCATCGAGCAGTAAAAAGGCTGGGAAGTTAAAGAGAGAAAGGGTTTAAAAGTCATTTGGCTTGCTAACACATAGAAATGTTGTTTTCCTTAAATGTAATCCTTGAAATGAAATGCAATATAACCAGCATTAGTCCTAAAAGAAAGGGAAATCCCAGACTATAAGGGTAAGTTGCAGCAATAGTGCTAATATGCTAAAATACCTAAAATATTAATATAAACTTATTTTGATTAAGAGATTAACTATATTTTTGACATTGACCTGTCGTTATAGCCACTATCAGTTTTTATATTGGCATCAATAGCAGTACAATTATCACAAAAACAATAGTGGCTGCTGCTGCTCTGCTAACTTTAAGCTAGCTATCGTTAGCGGGAGTTTAAGCTGCTGCCTCTTTTTGTTTTGCGGAATATCAACCCAAACTACCATCCTAACACTTAAGTAAAGTGGATGTATTTTAATTACAGATAACAGCAAGAGAAAGCGTTAAAATGTAGCTTTAGGTTTAGCTTGAGCTAGCTCCAGCCTTGAAGTAACAATGCTCAGTGCATTTGTTACTTCAAGGCTGGATTATTGTAACTCCTTATTATCAGGGTGTACCAAGAAGTCAGTCCAGTCGCTTCAGCTGATTCAAAATGCTGCAGCTCGTGTACTAACCAGAGTTAGGAAAAGGGACCACATTACTCCTGTTCTGGCTGCCTTACACTGGCTCCCTATAGAACACAGGATAGAATTTAAAATTCTTCTTCTCGCCTACAAAGCCCTTAATGGGCAGGCGCCATCTTACCTTAAAGAACTCATTATACCCTACTGTCCTACTAGGGCATTGCGTTCCAAGAATGCAGGGTTGTTGGTTGTTCCTAGAGTCTCTAAAAGTACAATGGGAGCCAGAGCCTTTTCTTATCAAGCTCCACTTTTGTGGAATCAGCTTCCAGTTTGTGTTCGGGCGGCAGACACCCTATCCGTTTTTAAGAGTGCGCTTAAGACCTTCCTTTTTGATAAAGCTTATAGTTAGGGCTGATTAGATTCAGCCCCTAGTTTTGCTGATATAGGCTTAGTTTGTCGGGGGACATCTTACTTCTTCCTTCTCTCTGTCTATACCTGTGTACTCTCATGTTCCGATTAACCCAGCTTCCCCAAATTTCTTTCTTTTTGGTGTCTATATACGCCGGGATCCGGAGTCATGGCTGATTACCGATGGAGGTAAAACAAATGAAGCCCAGAGAAAGTCCCAGTCCCCGAAAACCATTAAGTTATTGCTTTCTAATACTATCGCCGCTAAAACTAAAGTAGCAATAGGTTTTTTTCCAAAGTATTCTTAGACGAACGTTACTCAGTCCAGTGCATCTATTAAGTCGAGGGTGGAGGTGCCTCGATCCGTCACTGATTTTCTCCGACGCTGGCTTTGAGGGTGACAAAACAAAAAACAAAATAAAAGGAGACAAAACCTCAAACACTTCTCCGTGGTGACCAACCCGACTCCCGTAGTTTCCAACGTAAAAAAAAAAAAAAAAAATGTCAGTCGATGAAGATGACTTCTCTTATCGATAACTCCCGACCAAACGGATTAACATCGGGTCTCATCGTACTACTCGGAGGAACACGTACACTCACCGACATATTTACGATCCCGAACTAGTTGTAATTCCCCCTAACGTCTACTCCGGGTTTTTAGTGGGGAGTTGTTATTACGCCTGAGAGGAAAGTTGGGAAGTGTAAATGGTTGTGGGTGGTGTGACTACCAGCCAAACACAAAAAACAAGTACAAGATTCAAAAAAACAAAAAACTAAAGGAAGGTCTACATTAGAAACGGTTATATTACGTTTCGACACATGACGGAAATGTTTGCGGTTTGGCGAAAGGCCAATATGAAAACAAGTTTCGAGTCAAAGACTAACAATGCAGACAAAATGGTGTACTTTCTAATGCCTGTATTTTACACCTTTACATAGCTTTTCCCTACATTTGAAACGTCTTCGATGTTCCTGGTTCGGAATTTCAATTGTTCTTCGGTTTGGTGTCAAAGATGTGAATACACTTTGTGAACTGGGTGGTAGTGTATTGATAGATCGATGAGTTAGTTAGTTAGTTAGTTAGGTTAGTTAGTTACAAAAAATATATCGGGTTATAGTGTTTACAATGTAAACAGAGTCACCTGAATAGTGTCAAACATGTCTTATAGTCCAATACTGTTATGGCTTTGGGAGACAGGAATCTGGGAGTGTAGCATGTTTCCTTTTTAAGGTCTCTTTTGGGTGCAAATTTCCCTTTTTTACCCCACCTTTGGAGTCCCCCTCTCGTTGTCTCCTCCCTAGGGAAGAGGGTCCTACCTGTTGCAACGTTATCTACGGCACCACATTTAACTTTTCTATTTATGTAAACGTGTATCCATCAGGTTTACAAACCTTTACGTACACACATATTATCCTTCTACTTAGGTGCTCCCTAAGGGTAGGTCCCTGAATACTAGGTCCTGGGTCGGTGCTGAGGTTCTAAGGTCCTGAGCGCTAGGTACTGGTGTCCTGGC